CAGGGTGAATCTTAAACTGAAGCTTGACTTTAAAGCAACCCAACAGAAGTTTCATGTAAGTTTAGTTCCTTCACTCGTAGCTCGGGCTGTGGGGGTGCTAGAGACGGGAGCATGTTGATACGACCTTCCTAGCCGGAAATATGGCCGCATTTTTCAATAAACTTCTGTTGGGTCGCTTAAAAACATATCGCAAATCGAATCGCAATATTTGTTAGAAAAATCGCAATTAGATTTTTTCCCAAAAGTGTGTGTGTGTGTGTGTGTGTGTGTGTGTGTGTGTGTGTGTGTGTGTGTGTGTGTGTGTGTGTGTGTGTGTGTGTGTGTGTGTGTGTGTGTGTGTGTGTGTGTGTGTGTGTGTGTGGAATGTTCCGTCTGGAATATTGGCCGGAGGCACCTGTGTTATTTTTGTGAGCCGCTGCTAAATGGTGGATAGACTATGTTTGTGTGTGTTTCCATTTAGTGCTCTTCTCCACTGTCTTGCCTGTTCATCTGCAGCCTGGCTCATCGTGTGTTTAGGTTTCCTGCCGCCTTGTAATGGTTGAGTCAGGGTATCTGCACAGTCACAGGATGGCCAGGAAAACTCAAGCGAAACACCAGGCAAAGAATCAAGCGTCTCAAACAGACCTCCATTATGGACGAGGCGTGTACTGTCCTCCCACATAACTTGGCTGTATTGATTATGTGTGTCCTGGGAGAAAGGCTAGCACAGAAAAGCGAAAGCAATATATCGGAGATGCAGCAGACTCTTGTTGCTGTGCTGCTGTAACTATTAGGAGCATTGACAGCTTGCTCCAAAGGGACAGACACACACACACTCACAAAGTCTGAGTGATTGGATTGAAACGGGGATTGCTGATCGTCTGTGAATTGGGGATTCAGATCACTTTGATGTTTGTGTCGTTTAGAGTGAGCCCCATATACTAGGATGGTAAAGTCAAATCCAAGACTTTGTACCCATTTGATCATGAGTTTAAAGCAGACTACAGAAACTGCAGGAGAGATTTTAGTTTGCTGGTTCATCATGGAGTGTTGCATTGATGAGATATTTTGTAGGCTGACTTACTCAGACGTTAGCATCTCAAGGGTTCGCTCGACAAAAAGTGTTCTCTTAAGTTTGTGTTAACCACAGAAGATATTTCAGGCATCGAACCAAAAACACCAAAAATAAAACGCTGGTTTTAAGACCGAGGGAACCTGAAATGGTAAAATGCTAACTCATTGCCAGGTTTGAGGACTCACTCCTGAACCACTCTCTTGTCCTTTCAGGCTAGAATTGAGCCGTCTCCCTGCTTGACTCGAGTATCACAAACACAGCTGTTTCTGTACAATTTGCCTCTATTAAACATCCCTTCTGTGAAATTGTTAAAGACACAAAGGGCAAAGCTGTCTGTGCTTGCTCTGCGCCTTTCAGCTCAGCCTTCATTTGTCCAAAGAGAGTAGAAGAGGCCAGAATGGTAACATGAGGACGTTGTGGCACCAGGCTCCGATAACCTTGAGTTCACTGCCTGGCCCGGTTTTGTCTTTTTTCCTTCTTTGGAGAATGAGTGGAGCCGATTTTGAGTGCAGATACAAACCAAACCTTTGTCTCGAGGGTAAGCGGTTCAAACCAGGATAACCCCGGCCTGTTAAAGGAAATGCAGTTCAAGCCGGGGAGAGAAGAAAACACATTCAATGTGTGTAAGCTACCTTATAGCGTGTGAACGAGTAGTGGCAAAGCGCATGAATTTATTCTATGAAACACTTTCTTGACAACACATCACCAATCTAACTGCTATTTGGATGACAGACTAACATCGCCCCTTTGCTGTCTATTTGTCTGACATTGTTTGTCATATCATACAGCTCAGGTTAGACAGACACGTCAAGAACAAGCTTCTCCTCCGTCTTCTTAGTTACCAGGTTGACAAACTCTGTCTGTGCCATCTAATATACGATTGGTTGCCTAAAATGGAGTTGCAGTGGGGATTCTTACATATTGTTTTCTACCTACACTTTTAAGAATACATGTTTTTACTGCATCATGTTTTATTCATATTATTTACAAATGCAAGAAACATGAAAATTCTGTTTAAGCGTTCTAAAAGCGTTGCGGCATGTATTTGTATGTAGGTGGCACGTACCATGCAGCATTGGGACTGTAATTTGTGTATGCTATTGTATAAACCAAAGAACTGCAATGTTTTGTTGGAAAAACTAAAACCATTCGCACATTTTTGGATACACTCATCGTTTCTGTGAATGTATGGATTTGCTGCCTTTCTTTGTCATAAATGATAGTTAATTCAATATCTTATCGTACAAGACTGTTGGTCGGACAATGTAAGCAATATGAAAGCGTCACTTTAAACAAATCAGTTAAACGAGAAGGTTAACCAATAATGAAACCAAACCTTAGTTTCCACTTTAATAAACCACATGTCTGAACTAACCGCCATCTCACATTGACTGTTGCCAACCTGTTTTTCATTGCTTTGATCATAATTACTCTGTCCTCAGCAGTTAGCCTGTTCAGTCAGATGATCGACTACTTTATTTATCTCTCTGTCTGACACACACACACACACACACACACACACACACACACACACACACACACACACACACACACACACAGTAATGATACCCATGGGTAATTGAATGGGGAACATCAGCCTCCATTGATTCAGCCTGAAAGCGTTTGGCCTGTATTGAGGGTGAGGGTCAGTCGGAGCAGCTGAAGTCGCCTCGTTTATCGGAGATGGACGGCAGTGTCTCTGATCTTTAAACACACTACTCAGTGTCTGCAGGAAAAGGCTCTCAGGGGACCAAGGTCACTTTACATTGATGAGGATTTCAATGCAAGTGTTTGTCCTCAACACTGTCTCTCTGCCTTTCTGTGGTCAGAGTGGTTTAGTTTACAAAGCTATAATGTCTCCTATTTTTCAGAGTTTCCGTAGTTTAGGACAGACAAAAAAAGAAATCATGAATTGCCTTTTATACAGTGTTTCAGATGTGATCTCTCCTGAAGTTTTTAAATGTATTAATCAACATTTTATTTTATGTAATGGTTGAATACTTTGATGAGACTTACAAGGAGATGTTTATTAAAAAAAAGTATAGCCATATATTTAATAAACCAAAATAAGTTTGAACAATAGGATATTTTGTCTCAACTTGATATTATTCAGTGGCTGGTGGTTCTATAAGCCACATTTAGAGGACCAGGAGTCCAGAGTTTTGTATCTCTTTGTAGTTAATTTAGCTGTTTTAGTTATTGGGGTTATTTCAGTTGATTTCTTTTGTCTGCATACAAAAGAATCCCCCGGTGAATCTAAGCCTGCCCTGAAAGCTTTCCATTTGATGATTTTAATCTAAACTTGAAAGGGGAGAATCTCTCACTTCAAGTCTTTCTCCCACGGGCAGTTTGACATGCTCACAGTAAATGATATTATAAACCCCCTCAGGCATTTGCTAAGGGCCTGTTAGGTAGGAAGCAATGGAGATATGTGAAACTGCACTGAGGTTTGAACACCTGGACCCACTGTTGGCCCAGTACTGGAACAGGTAATGCTTCACTGCTATGTTGATGAAGGGAGGGCGCTCAATAAAGATTCTGTTTGCCTCATCAAGGACTCCATAAAACCACAATACCAGATTAAATACTGCTTTGATTCCCAGCTTTTCCAATCGATAGACACTCTTGTGTGTAATCTTCTGTGAAGCTATTGGAGTCGTTCCTTCTTGCATTATCACTGCAGGGCACATGTGGGCGTCTTGATAACCATGAAGCCAGAAGTCTGCTCACACGGCTCACTGCCATGAAGCTTTACTTTTCCCCCAGCATCTAGGTCATGCTTTCACACGAATAGCTCCCAGAGTGAAACAGTTCATTGCACCCTTAAAAAGGGGCTTGCATTGGGGCTCTATGGCAACGCACACATGTGAACCGCAATAAAATAGGAATTACATATATGTTTGTCGTCAGTCCAGAATAATCAGAGTCCAAATCTAGTGGCATAATATACCTTTCTTACTGGTCTTGAACCAAGATGTACTTACCGTATGAACTAAAAAGTGGAAAACCACCAATTAATGATACATTTGGAGTCACAAATCTGTACAATTGCAATACCTTATACAGGATCAAATCACTTACGGTACTATTTCCTTTTTGAGGGGCTACTGTATGTCGGTGATATTATCTTCTGTCCACTGGACGGTAGCCAAATTGGTTCAATTTTGGTTCATTTGGCACATAATGAGTATTGTAGGCCTTTCCTCTGGTGCTCAGCTGAACAACATCCCAACAGGCTGCGCAGAATATGAAACCAATAACTGCCTTCATGTCCAGTCATGTCTCTGTGATTCCTGTGCCCTCAGCTGGGTCATTATGTGTTTCTCGGTGTGCCTGGTCTGTTTGTAGCCCTCTTCTGAAGCTCCTTAGAAGCTGGAAACGTATTAGTCCCAAGCATTCAGACTCTATTATGAAGGAAAGTGGGTAAACATGAAGACTGAGTGAAATGCAGATTGAGATTTATCTCAGTTCATGCAGTTGTTATTATTAGGGAGTTAGAAAACAGATAAATATGGAGTCTGCATTGACAGACACTGAGGAGTTGATCTGCTTCGATGCCAACTAACAAAGCAGTGACATTTTAAAAGCTAAGATGTGACAATTGTCTCAAGCTCCAGTATGTTAGTCCATGTTGAAATAAAGTGCTCACTGTGTGCACTGCCAGGATGGATTGATTGCAAAGCAAGAAGTCTAATAACCTGCAGACCGACAGTACCTAGAGTACTTCTTCAGTGATTATCCTAAACTTTGAGATTACTGCAGGCTGTCAGCTGGATGCTTTTATCCAAAGCTCTTTGCAGTTCCATTAAAGTATTTTTTATTGCTATTGATTCCAGTAAGGAGTAAAGCTATTTAGAAATAAACTAGAGTTTAGAATTAAAGAACATAAAATAAGACATCAGCAGAGTTGTCTATTAAACATTGACGTGGATGTCGCTGAATCCATAGCAAGTTGACAGCTTGTTTGTATATCTTCTATGTGTGGCTCTGGTCTTTTTTTGACACTAATAAATGTTTTAATGTTTCCATAAAGAAATGCGTTCCTCCAGAATCTCTGATCTGAGTTTTGGAGGAACCTTTAGGGATGTTGGCTTGATGGACTTTAACTCAGCTGATTTAAAACCCTCCCATTATACAAACGAACGTTTTTGCAACTAATGGCAACATTTAGTTTCTCTGTTTAATATCTACTTAATGAATACAATGATTGCACTCGTTCGATAACATATAAAGCAACATGCTGCTAAACTAAAAAATGATGACACGCTCGAAGCAACCACACATTGAGCGGTTTGCCCTTTTTCTTCTTCCCCGCCCGAGGTGCAGACTCGGATGTGTTGGAGTCGGGAGGTTGAAGTGGGGTGAGAGGGTTCGCAGATGATCACTTTAAAAAGACTGCCTGAGGGCCTGACACAGCTGTGTGTACGAGAGAAGGATGGTATTAGATTGGACCTTAGTTACTGTTGCCATGCTTGCCAAGATTTTCATTCTAGCCCTGCATGTAAGGAGCTGACATTTCTTGTGCTTCTTGCAGTAATTGATTTTACCACGTTTTTTTCCTGTTCAAAGTTGTGTTTTTCCACTCTTCCAAGTCTAGTGACTGAAGAGAGAGGAAGTCATGTCGGACAGATTGTGAAGCCCAATGAGGCGATTAGCTTAAGTGACTTGGATTGTATTCGCTTTATCTAGCTATAGCTAATTAATGTTAACTCTCTAAGTCGGTTGGGATCTTGGTCTCCTGTTGACTTTTTAACATTTACAGATTATTCAACAATGAAAACCCCCAGATAATGGCCTCAATATGCATTTCAAGCCAAAATACATAACAGTATGATAACCCAGAGTCGTGTGATGATGTTAAACTGAGTCAAGGATCAAAGTAGGTCCTCTGTAAAAATATCTATATCTTCAAGCTGATGGACTATGAAGAGGAAGTTAAACAAAATATTGAGTTGGACAGCATTGTCCCTGAAGGGTACTAGTTAACCTAAGTATAATAGAGCAGTCACAATATGGTATTTCCATGACAGAGAGAACTCTCTGTCAGTATACACATTAGGGTGGTCCTTAGTGCCATGCACGAGTGGCCCATGGTGGTGGTGGGGTTATGGTATGGGCAGGCGTATGTTATGGACGATGAACACAGGCCACTCGATTCACAACATTACCCTAACCCTAACACTAACCCTAACCCTAACCCTCACACCAGATACTGAC